AGACATTGCACAGCGCCGGAACGTGATTCTCATTTCGATTTCGATTTGCATTCCGACTGCATCGCCCGTCCTCCGAGTGTTTGTTTGTTGTAATTGCAATTGATTTGGCTTACTCCTGACGGCGACGCGAACCTGGGAGACGAAAGACTTGCCATCTTGGCTAGATTAATATTTACCCAGAAGGACCCGGCTCCACTTGACTCCACTCCACTTCACTCCACTCGACTCGAATCCCCTTCTTCCGGTGCGACTCGCCTTGGAATAAAGTCACAATGCAGGCCCTTCACTCGATGGGCGGTCCGAGGCGAAGGATGCACTGCGATAAGGACGGAAATCGATTACCGATGGAGAAGGCCTCTTGAAAACGATCGGTGTAGATATATTACACTTCAAGTGCATCAATAAATGCATTGAACGAACACTTTCTGCTAATTTGGTTTTAAATCATACTAGTTTATATCCTACCTTATTTCCTAGTTAATATCTAATTTTATTTTATAATTTGTTATCGAACAAAATGGTTGGAGCAGATACGAGTAAGAGTAGTACATTGTAAGTGCATTACTTAATTCAAGGAATATATACTTTCCTTTAATTTAGTTTTACAACATCCTAGCTTATATCTTTACGTTCCAATTTTATTTTATCCTTTTGTATCAAACAACATATATTCTCTCCGTCCCGACCATTTCTTTAAGCCCTGAAAAAAAAACACTTGACATTTAGTTTTTAGTTTTCTATTATAATTCTATAATAACTATTTAAAGTGTATGAATGTAAGTCCATCCTCACCATAGATATTTTATATTTGAATTATATACATCACAAGATTATTTGAAAGCGTATTTTCTTGGAATTTAATTTTAAACATCCTTCTTTCTCATTTTATTTGGCTCTGTTTATCAAACAACATATTTCTTACATCTTCCAGACAAGTCTGTTTAACCCTTTAAATATATTAAAATGTATTGTAAAATCAGAAATTGTTTTTCTTATAATTTAAAAAATCTTTGATAAATTTAAGAAAGTGTCAGCAATATGTGAGCCTAACTAAGCAGATATGTTATATTACAAGTACATCACAAGATTCTTTAAAAGTGACCTAGTTCACTTTTTTAGATTTAATTTTAAAACATCCCAGCTTATATCTTTAGATGTTAAAGAGCTATATTAACGTATTTTTATTTGTTTTTATCAAATCATACATTTTGTAAGTACAACACATATTCATCTATTACAAAATGTAACAATACCTTTTTTTTTAATATATATTTCTCATTTCAATATTAATATGTTATAAAACCATATAGAGTAATCAATAGTGGGCTTTTTCCCTCAGTGTGCTGACAAACGAAATAGTTGCCGGCAATGCAAATAGGATTTGTATTTGTTTGCCTTTTGGCTGAGTGTCGTGTGCTCTTGGGTTGCCTTTGGCTCCATGGGTTAACTGCAGTTGGCCAGGAGCAGATTCAGTCCATATCCAGGCCATATACAGACCATATCCAGTCCATAGATGGGATCAGGCACCCGAAAAGAGAGTGTTGGCCAAACAAATTGTTTGTTGGTCGGATGGAGAGGGCTAATTTGATGTGTGCCATACAGGCGGCATTAAAGTATCGGTATCTTTTGGAAGCAGGACGATTGTTTGTGGTCCTGTGTGTGTGTGTGTGTGTGTGAGTATCTGTGTGCGCGTGAGTGAGCAAATATTTGGTCACATGCGGCGTATGAGTAATGCGATGATGAAGTGCGATGGCAGTTTTCTCAGCCTCTTATTCTGTTCCGCAAAGAGTTATTGCAAATAAGTGTAGCATACTCTGCGGCACTTGTGGTTTCGTTCCCTGTGCCTGTCCCTGTGTGTGTGTGTGTGTGTGTGTGCCTGTCTGTGTGAGGTGGCTGTGTGTTTCCAAGTGTGAGTGATTGCCTCGGTGGCTGAGACAAATGGGCTTTGATTCGCGAGTGATTATTAAACAGCTAACCGCAAAGTCAGCCGCCAAAAGTGGCAAAGTAATTAAAATTTTCACTGCTGCTCTGCTTAGCTGAGATATTAGGAGTGACAGAGAGAGGGAGATATAAAAAGGGTTTAAAAAAGGGAGAGAAAGTGCCATCCCAGCGCATGAAAATTAAGTAATAATAAGTATGGATTTACCATCAACAAATTATATTTGCTTTGGGATTAATGTACATACTTACATGGGTTCATATGTATCCCAAAAATTACTTTGTTGCATGCAGCCGAAATAAATATTAATTGTGATTTGTACTTACATATAAAGGCTTAAATATATTTTTTTTATAATATTCATTTTCGGTATTTATTGCTAAAATCACAGTAGTTTTAACACAGTAGCCTTTTTTTAAGTAGCCTTTTATAATTATTACACTGTGCCGCACTGAAAATTTATTATTATATTATATTGACTATGATTATTATATTTATATTATTATAATGATATATTATTATAATTATTTATTATCAAATCTTGATAAAGTTGCCCTAACTAACTTCTGCTTAACAACTTCATTTAAAGATCAATCTCTTATAAATGTAGTGTATAGTTCTTCTCAGAGTCTTAAGTTTTTTACCACAAGAATTACGAATGTACTTACGGGATGACACTTTATTAAGCCTCGATTTGGTACTTCCATTCGCGGATCTTTGACTTCCGTCGCCGATTTATTAATAATTTTGCCAAAGTAGTCACTCAAACAATGCCAGGATGCTAAAGAGCCTGTATTGCCTTTTATTTATGGCGTTTATAGCCATCGAGCTGAATCAATATCATTGCCAGCCGGAATGCGGTGGAAACCCAAAGGCAAATCGAAAGTGCAAAGTGTGCAAAATTCGGATGCCAGTGAAAGAGATAGAGTGACAAAGGCGGAAAGAGACGGAGATAGAGCGAGGGAAAGAGATGGAGGGGGATTGAAATGGATGCCCGTGCAGTTGGAAGCTTCAGTTGGAAGTGAAATCTCAAAGCCCGCTTGTAATCCCGGCGGGTGACATCATTTCATATGCTGGCGCCAGCGGCTTCAAAGCCGTCCGTTTCAAAAACCCCCTTTTTACCCCCTTTTACCCCCCTTTTAACCAGGATCAGGGGGCGGAGGGGCGTGGCGGCGAGCCGGGCGTCTGCACACATAAAGTATTGTTGAAGTTGAGAGCTCGTCGGAGATTTTGTCGTCATGCTCTGTAGTTGACATAATTATATTGTAAAATATCGTTGCACATCCCATATCTCACAGCGGGCAAACATGCCCCCCTGAACCCCCTTTTCGCCACCCCTGGTAATATACGATGTGCGGGCGAGTGTGTGAGAGTATGCATGAAATGGTCACTCTTGTTCTCGCCTCGCCTCCAGGACTCGTTCTCCTCTTTAGAACTTTCAATTTTTAATACCGAGATTTATGAAGCGCTGCGCGTGTTTGAAACGGAGAGTACACTGCACCCTTTTAACCTCTTTCAAAAACTCAAAACCCAGTTTAAAGACGGCTTAATCCAAAGGGATTTTGCTAAGAAATTTTTTTTTTTTAATTTTAAACTTGTTAGGAAATATTGGTATTTATACCATTTGGTATATAAGCTAAGAGGTATATAAGGATTTAAGCAATAATAAATTATTTTATAATTAGAACATTTTTTTAAAAAAATACCATACCATACTGTTATAAGGTATTTGGAAAATTAGTATATTTATGTTTGTTGAAAAGTATATAATTTTTAATTTTATGGTGAAATTATTCGCCAATTGCTGTACTTATGAACAAGTTATATAAATATGAATAAAAACTACTCTCTGTTTAAGAAGTTTACTATAACAAAGGTATTTAAAAAACTAGCACATTTTAGTATAATATCATTTTCATTCTAATTATTCAGAAATTGTTGTTCTTGTAAACCAAAAATAAGGATAATTTTTAATGGTTCCATTAAGTATAGCCTGTGACTTATTAAATGATTTTTCTTAAAATATATATTTTTAATATATGTTGTTGTATGAGCATTAGTATATATTAGTATATATCAACCAAGTGTATAATAAACGACAAAGGTATTACAATTTCGAAATCTCACGATGGAATGCATTAACATTGTATATTGCTGAGTGTAAGCTGCTGGGTGTCTACATGATATTACTTTTCCCTTAGTAAATCAGCTGCTGGAGCCAGCTGTGAGTCAAGCGGAAACGACTCCCATTGCTTTGTATGATTTTTCATCTTTCTAAAAAACTACTTTCTATATAGAACAAAAAGGGAAAGTTGCTGAGTTTGTCGATGCCCCATTGCATTTGCCACTTTAAGAGTCGAGTTGGAAACATGAAAAAATAAAGCTGTTATTCCCATGGGCGACTAAGATCGGGCTAATTCATTCAAGGATGGCAATATGAAGGCCCCGCCAGACCGAATCTCGAATCCCAGACTGAACTGTAGCCATGGCAGCCACAACCTCATATTGCTGTCAGCAACTGGGAAAGCGAATTTCCATCTACGAGGATGGATCAATAAATATGTACATCCACAAGTGTTTGACGTTGAGAGGAGGAGTGTTTGAAAATTGGGTGTGTGCCTGGGATATGCTAACCGTATTACCGTGTATTGTCTTTCACTTGAAGGTACCTCCTCAAATTTCAGCCAGATTTTATGCAGTTAAAAAGCGAAAGTATGGTTGCTTGGTAACTTTTTAATTTATTTGTAAGATAATATAAAATTTCGTTATTAAATTTTTGGATATTAGAGAACTGGTATTGGTTTGCGTTTGTGTAAAGTTGACTATTCTTCTTTTATCATCATAAGCATTAACAAAAATCTTAGGTTTTTTTGTAGCTTTATGATATGGTCCTACTAAATTCGTTTGATTTAGTTATATGTAAGAGGATTCCAAATCTTTTTTAATTTTTTTAAATTTATAATCTGGTTTATTATATGAAAGGGGTTTCCAATGCCTTTATCTTACCTTTTCTTCTTCAATGACAATATTAAATACTAATCCATATCTTTTTATTTTGAAGCCAGTATTTATTGATCCACCCTCGTACAGCAACGTGTGCTTGCCTCTTCTGGTGATTTTGGCCCGGTCACAGGCATAAATTAGCAGATGTATTTTCTGGGTCTGCTTTGATGTTGGACATGGAAAAGACTTACTTAAAATCTCTGACCGCATGGAAATGATGTTTCTGGCTAATTATGTACGTCCTCCGGCGACCGACTCCACCTCATCCATCCTTACTGGAACTTCATTTGAGCAGTTTCTCAATGAGGGAAAAAAGGGGACAAATGGCAAAAATGCCAGGCTTCATGGCGAAAAGGGGTTTGCTGGCGCAAAGGAGCATGCACTTGCCAAGGAAAATTGTTTACGCATTTTAAGTTTCGCTCGAGCAAGGGCATCAACAATGGCGACTGCGTTTTGTTGTTCCCCATCGATGCAAGATGCAGGGCATCCAGCTGGGCAAAGTTGCAACTTTGTTACGCTTGGGCACCCATCGCAAAATGCATGGGTTTCAAGTTGAAATTTATTTAAAGGCTACAGCAGAATGTCAGACAGCGGTTGACATCTGCATTTATTTATAACTTATACATTTTTTATATCTTAATACTACGAGCTTGACCTATAAATTATTTATTTACTTAAGAAGTTTATACAAATGAATACAATTATGAGCTAGTAAAGATGTAGAATTTATTTAGATTATTTTTTAGGTAGAGCTGTTGTAGAAATGTGGTGAAATGTGGGCTTTTTAGGAACTGTTATAAATTTGATTTATTGGTTGATGTAAGACTCACCAGTCAACAAGAAATGTGTTGAATAAAATTTAATTTAATTCGTTTTACACATGTTCCATTATAAGCATAATAATTAAATGTCTTACCCTAATCTAGTATATAATAATTCATTTTTTAAGTTTTAAGATAACTGTGTTTTTACCCTTTTTTGTAACTTTTTAAGTTAATCCGCCTGATGGTTATTGATTTATATTTTCCTTAAATGCTTTCCACTATTCTGGTGCAATATAATATAATGTTGGAAGCCCTTTCACTGTTGTTTTACTTAAATCAATCATATAATTAAATATTTTTCAATCACATTACATATTGAATTTTAAAAACCATGCTTTTAAAATGTTAAATGGCAGCATTGAAATTTTCTTAAAATTGAATTTCAAAGTTTTGGTGTTGGAATAACAATTTGTACAATGTTTGAAAATCTGAAATCTTAATAAATTTTAAAATGAGTACATCAATATTTTGTACTACATTTTGTTATATGGCCTGCTAGTTTGGCTTGGAAAAATTAACGTTATTGAAGCTGGTTGGATTTTCCTTGATTATTTCTCCCCATGAGACTTTCGGTGAGGGTGTATCCCGTGCCCTGCAGACTGAACCTTTGCCAATTCTGTGGTTTTACTTCAACATTCCCCTTAACGATCCGCGCACTGCGGCTTGTTGGCAATGTCACGTAAGCAGCGGCGGCAACAACGGCAACAACTGCGGCACACTACAATGAACTGAAAATAGCGTTGCACAAATTGTTGGCCAAGCCAAAAAACTGTAAATAAATATTTAAACTATTTGTAACTTTATTAACTTTGCTCAAGTGGCGCAATTTATTGCATACCAAAATGGGGCAGCCAGCAACAGCAACAGTAGCAACAGCAACAGCAACAGCAGCAACAGCTACGGCAGCAACATTGGCGGCACAGCAGCAACATGCAACTTGGGTGCAAATAAAAAAAAAGCAGCACAAAAGCGAAAGCGGAAAAAGCCAAACAAAAATTAAAGCGTTTTTAATGGCAGGGGGAAATTGTTGTTTAAGCTTTATATGTACATATGCGAGTGTTTGTGTATCTGTGGGCGACTTTGTTTGCCATTCCACTCGGTTTTTATGGCCAAACTCTATTCTGGCCAAATGTGTGTGTGTGGCCGCTCGTTATCCGTTATCCTGTTAAGCCCATTCACCCATTCTCAGGTTATCGCGAACTTTTGCAAATTGCAATTTCCCCCTGATCACTCGAAAATGTTCAAAACTGTTTTGATTTGTATATACCAGCACGGCAACAAAGTCAAATTTTAAATATATTTATTTTATTAATTTTACTCTGAACAAAAAAGTGTTATGTTACTTCTGTTTTTATTTTTTAATTAGATTTTACTGCACTGGTTATTTAATTAATTTAAGGTTTAATTTTTTTCGACTTGAAAATAATATTTATATTTGTTTTTTTTTTTATATAAAACCTGAATTTTATTTTCTATTTATAAAACAATCGTTATTTTCTGGCTTTTATATAGAAATTTAACCATAAACCATATTTGTCAAGCAATTTCAGAAAAGTTCACAAATTTGTAAGTCATTGCGGACAAATGTTGGCCATAATAAATTATTTCTTTTGACTTTGATGTCAGTATTTTGATGTCATCCTAACTTTATATATTTGTCGGACCCTGTTAATTATTTTATAAATATTATTTGATATTGGATGACAGCATAATTGTGATTGAGTTGTGGTGAAAATCGAATTAGAAAGTGGCTGTTTTAACTCGCTGAGTATTGCCAGTTTTTGCCTTTCCCCAGCAATTTTACACCTGAATTCCTTCTGCAAATGGTTAGCCATCAGAAAATTCATCAATTGCTTTCCATCCGAAACTCGAAAGGTTTGGGAATCCAAATCCTTCCCTCAGGTTAACAATTCTGCCGGCGGATCCGAGTGTGTTATGTAAATGACAAATATTCTTTTTGGCACTTTGATTGCACGTCTTTTGTTGCTGTGAATTACGCGAAGGTCGACTGTGAATCCGGCGAAAGCAACAAGTATGTATGCCACCTTCTCACATACACACACACACACTCATCCACACCCACTTTCGCCACTGACAACAAAGGCGACAGAAAAGGCGAAAGTGAAAGTCATCACTTTTATTTCATAAAAATTTTATTAGGCCTCCATATTTCATTCACTTAGCCCGTAACAGGACGCTCTTTCCCCCATTCAACTGCACTTGCAGATCCAGAGATTCGGATTTTCGGGTTCCGAATACCGAGATCTCGAACTCCCGAGCTGCCCAGTTCCCCAGTTCCGAGTCCCTTTACGAACATCTCCTGCAATACATTTACATTTGCTCTATTTACTTTTACGACACGTCTGGGCCTCGGCCCAAAGCAACAATGCCATTAAACTTGTAGATGTGTGTATGTACCTTGTACATACACCCCGGTCTAGAAAAAAGTGTCGCAATTGTTACATAAATTATTCAGATGCTCGCCGGGGTCCTTCGATGTGTCCTGGCCCAAAAGAGTTGCCTGCTTCGCACACGTGTTCCTACGGCCTGTCCTATCCCTATTATCCATATTTCATGCAACATGTCAGCTCAATGTGTTAGTTGTATGTTAACGAACGCCCACTTTAAAGGATTCCTCGAGGATATTGGAGATTCATATTAGGAACTAGGGTTGGGAAAACATCTATGATGGGCACCATTGGTGGTTTTGGCTATCGATAGTGGGCACGATCGGTAGTTTTGTCTATCGATAGAGATTACCATCGATATCATCGATAGTATAGAAAATCATAAAAAAAAGCACAGATAAAAAAAAACAATAGAAAACAAAAATAATAATTAAATGGAAAATAAAAAAAATATATTTATTAAATCGAAATCGAAGTTGATCATCGAATATTGATCATTAACGTTCAGATTATCGTCATTTCTTAAGAATATACTTAAAAGTACTTTTTTATTAAACGAAAGTACCAATAATCATACGTAACATTAAATTATTTTATACTATCGATTATACGGGTTATACCATCGATAGTATCGATTGTGCCATCGGTCGTTTTACCAACCCCAGTACACCTTTTACCGACCTGGTTGAAACATTAATTGTGAGCGCCATTAAGCCAATTAGGAGCCACAGATCCTGACAGAACATTACTGGCCGGCCGGTCGACAAACTAACCGCATAAATTAGCACTTGGCCGCAAAGGCAAAAGGGTCGCTCAAAGGCGGGTGGAAAAAGTTGCACTGCCTTTGGCTTTTGTGGCGGCAGCTTTTGTTGATGTTGCCGTTGTTAAGACTTTTGTTGTTGCTGTTGCTGTTGCAACAACTACGGGTTGGCTGGCAAACGCAGCGCATTCATTTGGCCATAATGAGGCAACGCTTTGCCAGAAGACGAAACAAGCCAGAAGGCTACAAAGCTACAAAGCTTAAAAGCCGGGGAGCATACTACTGTCCTTGGCCGGGACTTTGGCACGTCATTCCATCTATTCAGGTGGCATTTGGGGGCAAGTGGGTATATGCCCGCTTTTCCCAGAACTCTAACGAGCGAAGTTTTTCAAACACATATACCCTTGCAGTTGGGGCGAAAAAAGTTATTGCTTGATCTACCTAATTGGACAAATCGCTACTTCAATGGCTACATATACGTAGACATATATGATATAATCACTGGGGGATTCAGGAGTTGGGCGGGGGAGGGGGGCCTATAACATACACTTCTGTATAGCAATTAAAAATGATATAGGTACATTTTATTTTGAAAATTAAAAATCACTTTTATGAAGGTTAACAATTGAAAGATTTCATGTTCAATTTTTCACTACGTTTTGTATTCGTTGGGATTTTTAATAATAAAAATATTGAAATATTACATCAGACCATCAAAGTTAATTTAAAAATGCTTAACTTTTATATAATATTTAATTTTTAATGAAGTAAAATGTTCAAAATAAATATGACTGACATCGCATCTAATATTTTCTATCTAATATTTCAATATAATAGTATAAAATAATAGGTTTTTTGTAATTCTTTCAAACATTTAATAAGAAACTTTAAATTCAATATGCAAATATTTATTTACACCAATCCAGTTTTTTCAGTGTGGGTAAGACTAGTTTGCAAGTATTTTTTCTATACATATTTGAACATGATTTTTTTTTGCTCATTAGAGAGCTGTTTAGATATATCACATCTGAAAGATGTAGATTCTTGGTAATCACTTAGTTGCAGACTTATTAAATTGTATACCTTCTGCTTGTTGCTAAAGGGAAAATTAAGTGTTTTACTCAAAAAAAAACGTTTTGTAAGCTACAATATTTCTGTTTTTAATTTTTTTTCAACAAATTTGTTTGATTTTTATTAAATAAATACATGTTGGTTTATTTATAAGTCTCAATTCCGTATGGTTTGGGGCAATAAATCAAAAGCGAACGTGTGCAAACCATGTGATTCACTTGTGATTTGTGTGTTGGCTGCGGCTTAGCGGGTTGACACTCGCAGACGAGGCAATTATATCTTTTGGGGCCAAAAAGGCGACGAAACAAAGGGCAATACCACCCGAGGACCGCCCACTCGCCAAGGCCAAAGGATAACCCATGGGGGATAAGGGGTAAAAGGTCCGCGGCGACTGGTGCAACCACGTGTCAAAGGAACTGCTTCGCCCTCAATCCTGCCGCCATTTCATTTCCATCATCGGCTTCCTCTAATCCTCAAGTTCCAATGGCAAATGGCAAATGGCAAACTTGCAAGCCCTGTCTGCGGCAAGTGCCACGCCCACCTGGCCAAACAAGTTTCCACATACAAGATCCGATTTATTTTTTGATTGATATTTGCGTAACTGTCAGCACTGGTGATTGATTGAAGGGTTGTGCCCCCCGCATTGTGCCAAGCACAGCAAAAGTCAACTTGCAATTACTGGATGGGGGGTACGGGATCCGAATAGGTATAGGGATAAGGAGTAGGGATAGGGATAGGGGATAGCGATAAGGCGGGGGAGGACAAAGTGACTACTGTCAGCTGCGAAATTTTTATCTGAATAATGCGTAATGCGAAATAAATAAGTGGCATATGTGTGTGCGAGTGGGTATGCTGGCGAGTGTGACAAACGATTTTCATTTTGTTTCTTTCCCCAAAAATTGGTCGATGACTTTTGCTTTTCGGATACCTCCCCCCCTTCGAAGGATGGGGTATGTTAAACCGGAGTTGCCTTGCCACGGGTTCAAAGGTTGCGCTGTGGAAAAGGTTGCTGCTGTCTGATTTGATTTGATTACCGCTAATCAACTGAACTACTCAAAGGCCAGAGGCCAAAATTGGACAAATCAAGTGGAGAAATGGGCTTAAATAAGGATTGGGTCTGTTTAAAAAAAGAAAAGGTTTTTCAACCTTATTCAATTTTTTAAGACTGAAATACGAGAAGAGACAGCAAAAATAGAATGTTACCTAGTTTTGGCGTAGAACTTTTGAGGCAAACCTTACATGTCGAATTTTGTTTGATCTAAGTTTTTTATATTGAACATGTTGTTTTTTTTTGTTGTTATTTAATGGTCTAAATTTAAATGCATAATACGATTATTTTTAATTCCATCATTAAATATCCTTTATAAACATTTCCTTTGCTTTTTCATATAACTACAACATTAGGTACAAATCTCTCCGTCCTTATATTTTTGGAAAAATTAACTACAAAATTTACTCAAGGCAATATGTTACCTCAAATATAATTTAAGATTATTTTTCCTTAATATAGGACAGTAATTTTATCCTAATTTTCGGCTATGTAAAATTTTAGATGTTCTTTTGTGTGTAACTATTTTAGGTATTATTCAAACAGGATTGACGCAAAACTTATCACCTAGAAATGATTAAAATGTCTGTTACTAGATAAAACGCAGACTAAATAATTACTAAATAATCCACACACATGTTGTTTTTCCTGAGTTCAAAGTTCTGGCCTTCGGCGGCCCAAAAGAGCCCAAATGATGAAAATGATGGTCGTGCTTAAGCCCTAAAACCAAAGAACTCTAGTTCATTGTAGAGACATTAGTCCTGTTAAGTCCCGGCTAAGTTATTGGTTTTTGTGCTGCCTCCGTAATGATGGCCCCCAATTAGTTACACCCTCTGCTCAGCGAAACGTGGACATAATTTTGGTGCTATTGCGACAGGGCCACGTAAAATTTTCCATTTACCCTGCGGGCCCCCAATAATCCACCCACTTCCAGTTCCCGGGTCCACCTTTCGATTTATCACTTTAAGCCGCACAAACATTATTTCAGTACTCCACTCGGCAAATCTTAACAATTAACACACTTTATGCGGCATTGTTCCAGCTTCCTCTGTGCGTTTCTTGCCCCCCTGTATATTTTCGTTTTTTGGCCAAAATGTCGGGCCTTTTTGGGGGGAGTGGGTGAGGGATTTTCACCAACAATGCGGCAGCTGATGAAGTCAATGCCAATGCTGATGAACCTGACAGGCCGAGGGGATTGGAGGCTCTGGCTCCCAGTGACGCATTGCCTCATTAACACTAAAGCCCCAGCATTTATTTAGGCCAACTTGGGTTGGTTGGCAGTGCCGGGGGGTTGGGGGGGTTTTGGGCCCCCCCAGTTGGCACGCATGTTGTCCCAAAAATCGTAGAAGGGAGGGGGGGAAGCATAAAAATAAAAGTATCTCTTAATTTGTACGCCTATGACAAACTTCACCCCCCCAAAACATTTTCACTGCTATTTAACTTTGGTGCTGCTGGTCCGTGTTTGATGGTCTCATCAAAGGCGAATGCGGCCCGAACTTATTAAGCAGCTTTCATTTTTAATTATGCCTTCCCTTACTTCGACTTCGACTTATATTTCTTTTTTCCGTTTTCCAGTTTTTCCTTTTCCCGCTACTGACTGTCGCAAAAAATTACAAAATCATTTTGGAGTCCAACACCTAGGGCCGTCGGGGGTCCTGAAAAACCCCTCGTACAGCCCATCTAGCCAAGTGCAATCAATCACGTAAAATTTAATTAAATTCTTAAGGAAATTCAACAAAGATGATAATTATACCCAGTACTCGTTGGTCAGAAGAGTATATTGTGTTTGGGTGAAAGATCTGTTGAATGTTAATAATTATAACACTTTAAAAATTAAATCTAACAAGGTAAAGGGCTAATATTATTTTTATTGAATACGATTATATACATTATTATAATATTAAAGATATTATATACATATTATATATATATAATAAACCTTCATAATTTTTGGAATTGATATTTGTGCATTTCTACCTTAAAGAAGAATAGTTTATATTTTAATAAAAATTAATACCAGATTATGAAAACATTTTTACCAAATTAACAAAATTTTTTTAAAAAACAGTAAATATTTGTTTTAAGGTATGAATTTTAACGGAGGAACTAAACATTTTGTATCTGTATAGTTTTTTTGAAAGTGTTATGCCCACATTTATGTACCCATCTCCAGTCACCTCTGTTTATAGGCATAGCACCCAGCGAGAGTCCATAACAAAGTCTAACATAATAATACTTTTTATTTTGAAAACTCAACGCGAATGTGACAGATATATTCCGTTATGGAGTAATACTGATTTAACGACCAATATGATTATTTCCCGGTGTTGCCGGAGTGCTGGCGGGGCAATAAATTGAACCAGGCGCTCCTAAGTATGCTGCGATTGTTTCCATGCCCAAAGGAAAGCAGTCATATTATGCACATAAATCATAAAAATTATGAGCCAGTGCGTGTGTGTGTGTGTGCGTATCCTTGTGTATGAGAGAGTGTCTTGCAGTAACTGCATGTTTTCAGTAGAGAAATTGAGGAGCAGAGGTGGCCATTGCCATCCGTCAAAGTTGTTTAAGTGTTTCTCTATGTTAATGCCATCCCAGCAGTTCTGGAAGTCACTCATGACAAATGTCATTTGGAAAGGGCATTACCTCTGCCATCCAAGTGTTTCACCGAGAAAAATCTCTACTTCTTGGGAGTTTTGGTAGATATGATAGGTATATCATTTCATAAGTATATACTGTTTGGTGCATCGAAATAATATTTAAAAGGATATGTAAAGGATTTTTAATTCTGTTCATATTAAAACGTAATATTTTCATGAATGTACCTAAAATTACGAAAACATTCGGAACAGGAAATTGAACTTTTTAAAAAAAATTTATCTTAATGCTTGATTCTATGAAATTATATTAAAGTTAATGAGTATATAATGATATTATTTATTATGATAATATTTGTATTATGATTATGATTTTATCGTGATTACCTATATGATTTTAATATTTTAATGATAATTTTTTAATAGATTCATATGAACTATAATTCGCAGTACATTTTTAAGAATCCCCCCTGCCAGATTTCAGCTGACGCCACTGCACTCAAACACACACACACACAGGCGCACTCAGGCACTCTCTTGTCAGTGGGGGCCGAAGGACCCAAAGGAATTTTCGAGGACCATTTACATCTAAGAGTGCAACGGCAGTGGCAACATCCCAAGCAGACCCGGAATCGCCAGAAGCGGAACTCCTCCTCGTCCTCCGTAAATCTGAGTGGCCCTGGTCTGGGTAACTGGTTGTGCCGGTGGCCAACACATTTATCACACATTGTACATTGCCATTTAAGCAGTTTGCCATTTACGAGTATAAGTGTGACAACGCTTTTGCCAGGCTTTCTCACTCTCCCCCCCACTTTCCCCACTCGGTGACACCTGAAACTACTCAATTTCCCTCCGATTACCAACGAGCTTGCTAGTTTCCATGGGGTGCTTTTCTGTAGCATCCTCATCATCAACTCATTATCATACTGTTTTTGAGCAAAATTTAATTTTTAAATTAACCAACATGTCCATTGATTCTTAATGAAGTAGTAAAAATTAATACCTGAATTTAAATTGTAGTATTTCATATTAAAATAACATGTAAAGTATAATATTTAATACAAAACATATAAGTTTGCATGATTTTATTTTACATTTTAGCCAATTTTATTTTAATAAAAAAATATTTCGTAATAAAATCAATGCTTAAAGACCCTAAATTATTTGTAATTGTTAAACTTAATATATGCAAATCAAAAAATTAAAAATATAAATTCAATGGACTTACTACGTTTTCTTATCAGTGCGTCTAAGAAAACACAAAATAAGTATTTGAATATTAGTAAAACCATTAAAATAGAAAACAAATAAGCAGGTTGATCAAGATATATGGGAAACATTAATTGAAGAAGATAAATATATATAATTAAATATTTAAAATAAAATAAATTAATATTTTTAAAATGTTTAAGTTTCGGAGGTTAATTTCAGTTTAAAAAGTGAAATAACAATGTTCTGGGGATGTTAACTATATTGTTAGAAATATAAGATCCAAATTATATCCTCTGAAAGGATATAAAAAACAATAATTTGCCCAGTGTAAAATAACATTTTCGAAGGTCAGCTATTCGGGGATAGGATGGTACTGCAAAGGGTTCCTTAAAAAGGACGGCCACTGAGGAGGCGCCGAGGGGAGGAAAAGGTCACAGAACGAGGGGCAGGTAAAAATAATCCAATTTGGAAACCGCTAGTCCTGCCCTAATCCGAAAACGTTTGCGACTCACGTAGTCGTGGATATGGATCAATGAATGAATCCGAAGGCTTTCATGAATCTGTTTGCCATTAAGCATGTTACGCGGCGATTAGAAGGGGGATCGCTAATCCCTGGCCAAGGATATGCGCGTAATCCTTTCGGGCAGCCTCTGTATGTTTCACATAAATAGATCTGTTTCTAATAAACCAAGCACAGTCAGTCGAATAACTCAATCAGTGACACATTATAACAATATTACCATGGATACGACACCGGTCTTCCAGTCCAGCTTCTCCATTCGATCACTACTATCTGTGGATGATAAGGTGGATGCCCCGATTCCGAACCACTCCGAAAATAGTTCTGAAGACGAGGCCAAGACGATGGGTTCAAATTCTAATTCCAGTTCGAAGAGCAATGCCAAGCCGGCTTTCACATACAGTGCCCTCATAGTGATGGCCATTTGGAGCAGTTCCGATAAACGATTGACCTTAAGTGGCATTTGCAAGTGGATTGCGGATAATTTTCCATATTATCGGAGCAGGAAGAGCGTCTGGCAGAATTCGATAAGGCACAATTTGAGTCTCAATCCCTTCTTTGTCCGGGTGCCGCGAGCCTTGGATGACCCCGGACGTGGTCACTACTGGGCCCTCGATCCCTACGCCGAAGATCTGTCCATTGGCGAGACTACTGGCAGACTGCGCCGCAGTAACTGGCCACAGAATGCGCAGATGGCCAGGGCCAAGGTCACAGGTCATCCCTACCAACGAATGCCGCAGTACAGTCACATTCAGGCCCATCCCCACGCCCAACATATCAAGTCTCAAGGCGCCTACTTTCCCATACTTGACCATCACCAGGCCGCAATGCTGCAGCACTACCATGCCATGATGCACAGACATCAGATGATGCAAAATCCACATCAGCAGCATCCTCAAATGCATCAGCCGCAAAAGCATCTCTATCCACATATCCAGGAACAACATTCGCAACTGCGGCATCACCATTACCACTTCCACCAAGAGTAACTTCAATCGATTTCAGCTTGGTCCTGCCTCGAAATCCCCTCGATATAGACCAGCTCTGAAAAATCCCCCAGGGCGTAGAACGCGGCAAATGTTGTTTATATTAGGTGGGTCAATATAACTAACATTTATTCACAGCTTTAAATTTAAAATATATCATAGTCAAATTCATAGATAGTTGTACCTTATGTTATTTTATAACAAAAACACAAGTAATTCCTATTTCCCTGATTTAAAGGCTTAAAAGAAAACGGTTAGGAAAACCTTAAGGCTCAGCTATAAATAAGATTTACAAATATTTTTTTTAAATTTATATGTTCACTATTTTTTGAAAACAAGTTCTATACACTTTTTTGTATTAAAATTACAAAATATAATGTTTTTGAAATCACCTGCTTTAAAATAAAAAAAACATCGTAGTTTAATTGATAATTGTATGTATATAGATGTATTTAAAATTAAAATAAATATAAAGTTACCTGATTAAAAGAATATTTTTCATTACCCACTTACATTTACAGCTAAAAGACCTACTGTTTTGAGCAGCTTGCAACAAATGCTATCGATTTCCATCACTTTAAGGAACATTTATTTTTTGAACCAATTTCCCATTTTTTGTAAGGGGGTAGATCGGATATTTTTGGAATTCAGATTTTGGTCAAAAATTCTCATTTTTTCATGGTTTTCCAGTCGTAGTTTGGCCAAATCAAGGCGTACAGCTAAAAGACCTACTGTTTTGAACAGCTTGCAACAAATGCTATCGATTTCCATCACTTTAAGGAACATTTATTTTTTGACCCAATTTCCCATTTTTTATAAGGGGGTAGATCGGTTATTTTTGGGATTCAGATTTTGGTCAAAAATGCTCATTTTTTCGTGGTTTTCCAGTCGTAGTTTGGCCAAATCAAGGCGTACAGCTAAAAGACCTACTGTTTTGAGCAGCTTGCAACAAATGCTATCGATTTCCATCACTTTAAGGAACATTTATTTTTTGACCCAATTTCCCATTTTTTATAAGGGGGTAGATCGGTTATTTTTGGGATTCAGATTTTGGTCAAAAATGCTCATTTTTTCATGGTTTTCCAGTCGTAGTTTGGCCAAATCAAGGCGTACAGCTAAAAGACCTACTGTTTTGAACAGCTTGCAACAAATGCTATCGATTTCCATCACTTTAAGGAACATTTATTTTTTGACCCAATTTCTCATTTTTTGTAAGGGGGTAGATCGGTTATTTTTGGAATTCAGATTTTGGTCAAAAATTCTTATTTTTTCATGGTTTTCCAGTCGTAGTTTGGCCAAATCAAGGCGTACAGCTAAAAGACCTACTGTTTTGAGCTGCTTGCTAAAAATGCTATCGATTTCCATCACTTTAAGGAACATTTATTTTTTGACCCAATTGCTCATTTTTTGTAAGGGGGTAGATCGGTTATTTTTGGAATTCAGATTTTGGTCAAAAATTCTTATTTTTTCATGGTTTTCCAGTCGTAGTTTGGCCAAATCAAGGCGTACAGCTAAAAGACCTACTGTTTTGAGCAGCTTGCAACAAATGCTATCGATTTCCATCACTTTAAGGAACATTTATTTTTTGACCCAATTTCCCATTTTTTATAAGGGGGTAGTTTGGTTATTTTTGGAATTCAGATTTTGGTCAAAAATGCTCATTTTTTCGTGGTTTTCCAGTCGTAGTTTGGCCAAATCAAGGCGTACAGCTAAAAGACCTACTGTTTTGAGCAGCTTGCAACAAATGCTACCGATTTCCATCACTTTAAGGAACATTTATTTTTTGACCCAATTTCCCATTTTTTATAAGGGGGTAGATCGGTTATTTTTGGGATTCAGATTTTGGTCAAAAATGCTCATTTTTTCATGGTTTTCCAGTCGTAGTTTGGCCAAATCAAGGCGTACAGCTAAAAGACCTACTGTTTTGAACAGCTTGCAACAAATGCTATCGATTTCCATCACTTTAAGGAACATTTATTTTTTGACCCAATTTCTCATTTTTTGTAAGGGGGTAGATCGGTTATTTTTGGGATTCAGATTTTGGTCAAAAATACTCATTTTTTAGTGGTTTTCCAGTCGTAGTTTGGCCAAATCAAGGCGTACAGCTAAAAGACCTACTGTTTTGAGCAGCTTGCAACAAATGCTATCGATTTCCATCACTTTAAGGAACATTTATTTTTTGACCCAATTTCTCATTTTTTGTAAGGGGGTAGATCGGTTATTTTTGGAATTCAGATTTTGGTCAAAAATTCTTATTTTTTCATGGTTTTCCAGTCGTAGTTTGGCCAAATCAAGGCGTACAGCTAAAAGATCGGTTATTTTTGGGATTGAGATTTTGGTCATAAATACTCATTTTTTAGTGGTTTTCCAGTCGTAGTTTGGCCAAATCAAGGCGTACAGCTAAAAGACCCACTGTTTTGAGCAGCTTGCAACAAATGCTATCGATTTCCATCACTTTAAGGAACATTTATTTTTTGACCCAATTTCCCATTTTTTATAAGGGGGTAGATCGGTTATTTTTGGGATTCAGATTTTGGTCAAAAGTGCTCATTTTTTCATGGTTTTCCAGTCGTAGTTTGGCCAAATCAAGGCGTACAGCTAAAAGACCTACTGTTTTGAACAGCTTGCAACAAATGCTATCGATTTCCATCACTTTAAGGAACATTTATTTTTTGACCCAATTTCTCATTTTTTGTAAGGGGGTAGATCGGTTATTTTTGGGATTCAGATTTTGGTCAAAAATACTCATTTTTTAGTGGTTTTCCAGTCGTAGTTTGGCCAAATCAAGGCGTACAGCTAAAAGACCTACTGTTTTGAGCAGCTTGCAACAAATGCTATCGATTTCCATCACTTTAAGGAACATTTATTTTTTGACCCAATTTCTCATTTTTTGTAAGGGGGTAGATCGGTTATTTTTGGGATTCAGATTTTGGTCAAAAATGCTCATTTTTTCATGGTTTTCCAGTCGTAGTTTGGCCAAATCAAGGCGTACAGCTAAAAGACCTACTGTTTTGAGCAGCTTGCAACAAATGCTACCGATTTCCATCACTTTAAGGAACATTTATTTTTTGACCCAATTTCCCATTTTTTATAAGGGGGTAGATCGGTTATTTTTGGGATTCAGATTTTGGTCAAAAATGCTCATTTTTTCATGGTTTTCCAGTCGTAGTTTGGCCAAATCAAGGCGTACAGCTAAAAGACCTACTGTTTTGAACAGCTTGCAACAAATGCTATCGATTTCCATCACTTTAAGGAACATTTATTTTTTGACCCAATTTCTCATTTTTTGTAAGGGGGTAGATCGGTTATTTTTGGGATTCAGATTTTGGTCAAAAATACTCATTTTTTAGTGGTTTTCCAGTCGTAGTTTGGCCAAATCAAGGCGTACAGCTAAAAGACCTACTGTTTTGAGCAGCTTGCAACAAATGCTATCGATTTCCATCACTTTAAGGAACACCTATTTTTTGACCCAATTTCCCATTTAAATAAGGGGGTAGATCGGTTATTTTTGGGATTCAGATTTTGGTCAAAAATGCTCATTTTTTCATGGTTTTCCAGTCGTAGTTTGGCCAAATCAAGGCGTACAGCTAAAAGACCTACTGTTTTGAACAGCTTGCAACAAATGCTATCGATTTCCATCACTTTAAGGAACATTTATTTTTTGACCCAATTTCTCATTTTTTGTAAGGGGGTTGATCGGTTATTTTTGGGATTCAGATTTTGGTCAAAAATACTCATTTTTTAGTGGTTTTCCAGTCGTAGTTTGGCCAAATCAAGGCGTACAGCTAAAAGATCGGTTATTTTTGGGATTGAGATTTTGGTCATAAATACTCATTTTTTCATGGTTTTTCAGTCGTAGTTTAGTCAAATCAAGGCGTACAGCTAAAAGACCTACTGTTTTGAACAGCTTGCAACAAATGCTATCGATTTCCATCACTTTAAGGAACATTTATTTTTTGACATAATTTCTCATTTTTTATAAGATTTTGGTCAAAAATGCTCATTTTTTCGTGGTTTTTCAGTCGTAGTTTGGCCAAATCAAGGCGTACAGCTAAAAGACCTACTGTTTTGAGCAGCTTGCAACAAATGCTATCGATTTCCATCACTTTAAGGAACATTTATTTTTTGACCCGATTTCTCATTTTTTGTAAGGGGGTAGATCGCTTTTTTTTGGAATTCAGATTTTGGTCAAAAAATCTCATTTTTTAGTGGTTTTTCAGTCGTAGTTTGGCCAAATCGAGGCGTACAGCTAAAAGACCTACTGTTTTGAGCAGCTTGCAACAAATGCTATCGATTTCCATCACTTTAAGGAACATTTATTTTTTGACCCAATTTCTCATTTTTTGTAAGGGGGTAGATCGGTTATTTTTGGGACTCAGATTTTGGTCAAAATATCTCATTTTTTCGTGGTTTTCCAGTCGTAGTTTGGCCAAATCAAGGCGTACAGCTAAAAGACCTACTGTTTTGAGCAGCTTGCAACAAATGCTATCGATTTCCATCACTTTAAAGAACATTTATTTTTTGACCCAATCTCTCATTTTTTGTAAGTGGGTAGATCGGTTATTTTTGGGATTCAGATTTTGGTCAAAAATACTCATTTTTTAGTGGTTTTTCAGTCGTAGTTTAGTCAAATCAAGGCGTACAGCTAAAAGACCGACTGTTTTGAGCAGCTTGCTACAAATGCTATCGAGCCCCATAACTTTGAGAAACAAATCAAGGCGAGCATACATTGCTAGCTATGTACTACAAATAAGCATCTCTGATTCATTTAGACGATTAGTTTATCGCTAGCAAGTAACAGAATTTTAAACAAAACCAAATGCATTGACTAAATATCTAAATGCGTTTGGTATATTTTTTAGTTATAGCTTCATTTGATGGTAACTTTGTTGTAAGGGATATATAAAAGCAAATGCATAATCAAAGTATTAAAATTCAATCGGTTTAATCAGTGATTTAGCTTAAACTCCTGCCTCGTAATAAATAAAATATTTAAAAAAGATTAAAAAGTGGACTGACAGGAGTGGGAACACGGGATATCCTGGTGGACTACAAGTGCCCCTTCCCGAGGGTGCCAACTAGCCGCTATTTCGGGAAGTTTTCAACTTGTCGTCGGACCAGGAAGCTCCGCCTCGGTGACTGCCACATCTAAATGC